TGTTTGTTAAGGGCCAAGAATTAGCTCCTGTGGGTTATGAAGGTAATCAAGTTTGCTGAGATAGGACGCTGTAATAGAACATTGACTGAAGGGTTATTCAATTTGCTACTGACATTATCTCTCACAGAATCGAGTGCGCTGGATGGAATGTTTAAGATATTCGGTGCCTGGAAACGTTCACCTTCTGAAGCTCACTGCAAGAGTTACCAGGGATGTGACAGTCACATAGTGGAGGAATCGGTGATCAGAATGGGTTAGGGGATAAAGGAATGGATGACTGTTCGTTGTATTGATAGAAATTGTTGGCCTGCTCTTGTCTTTGAGGTTTGGTTGTAGATTTTCTGATTGTGTATGGTTGGACAGAAATTTCACTTTCGGAAACTCATTTCGGGCGTAGTTATGAGGGTTATTCAATTATCTTCTGACATTAACTGCCTCAGAAGTGAGTGTGTTGGACAGAATGTTTTAAGATATTGGACTTTGAGAACTTTCACCTTCTGAGGCACAAGGCAAGAGTAGTTTTAAGAAGATAACTTTCTCCCACTGGACATGGAACACCATGTTTGAGATGATGGTCAACAGTTCAGATGCATGAACTAACTGAAGCCAGGCTCAGCCCTCACATTAGGACAAGGTACTGGAGTCTTGATGGCCTTGTTCACAGCTTACCATCTGGCTTCGAGTTGTCTGCTATGTCCTAGATTGGTGGTCAGTTAGCCAGCTGACCCATCACGGCTCAGTGTTACCTGTCTCCCCTGTCACTCCGAGTTACCTGGTAATTAGTGGTCGTAGGCTTCACAAGATTTGTGGCTTGTCCAACAGGTGTTAGGCAGTGCTCGGCTGGGGAAGGAATGATGAGTGAGCAGTTTCTGCTTGAGGCGCAGGCTCAGTGTGTTAATGTACTTGGCATATTTATTTTGGTTTAACTAAGAATTAGATGAGTTGGCTTTCTTAGAGGTGGTGGTTGTAGTGGTGGTTGTAGATACTAGGGGCAACGGGGCCAGTGAAGGGCTATCTGTGTCCATGTGTGTTCTGAACAGTAGGGATTCAAAACTTAAAGGGGCAATGGGGCCAGTGAAGGGCTATCTGTGTCCATGTTAGTACTGTACAGTAGGGATCCCAGACTAGGGGCAATGGGGCCAGTGAAGGGCTATCTGTGTCCATGTTAGTACTGTACAATAGGGATCCCAGACTAGAAGGGGTCCCCAGCAACCTCTGCTTGTCATCAGAGGCCACTAAATAGATGGATGGTCAGGCTCTGTAACTTGTTGGTTGTGAGTCCTCGTCCACCCTGCAGGATGTTACACTTCATATTTAAACTAAGTAACTGGTTGTCTAGTTCAAACTCAATTATTTCCAGGCCAACTTAAATAATAATGATGATAATAAACACCAGCCTGATCGTGCCAGAATCACCCAAACTTTCTTTGCTGCTTTTTTTATTTTAATCTGTAGATTACATAAAGCTGTCTACATATAACTGAAATATTATGTGATGCTAAACAACAAATAAAACAAATATATGATTTATTCACTTCCAATTGAAAAAGTTCTGACACATTTGTTAAGGGCGTTCGTGTATACCATATATTTTTTTGTAATTTACATAGAGTACAGGCAGTGAATGCTGTTCTTGGTTTCTCGGGGCTGTTGGTTTATGATTTGCCTACTTCCTGAATGAAACAAGCTATAATGTCCTCCACAGACCCATCTCGATGATGAGTTGTCCAATCAGAACACATTTGTAGCTCACCTGGCCTGGTTTCACAAGGCAATGCTAACACCATGACTGTTGTAAGTTCCATACAATAATTGCAGTGCCAAGATTGCTTGGGCCAAGGTGAGTATCGTCTATTTTAAGCAAATAGTTGCAAGAGTTTTTAGATGATGATCATCAAATGAAAATCTTAAGTTGTTTTACCTGTCTGTGAACAGGCTTGGGTTGCTTGTGGTGTATGGCTTTTTGGGATACATTTTTCACATGTTTGGCACATGATTTGTTTAGAAATCCTTGCATACATGTTCAAAGCAACTTTAGGTTCCTAGATTGACCTTGGATTCTTGCTGAGTTTCCTTGATTATCTTCAAGTCAAATCTTTCTTGCCATGATTTGTAAAAGATTACTATGTGGTCTTCTCAGGATTTTTTGGCCGAAAGGACAGATTCAATCAAGCACTAGTAGCAATCATCATAAATATTTGGAATCTTGCTTTGATCTCGAAGGTTACAGTGACCATTATTGGAGGGAGGTAGTTTGATCCACTGGATAAAAAGTGGCCTCTCATGGCGACTGTGAAGAGTAACGACTCTAAGTCACGTTAGCATTAAATATGCACAAGATTCGCCATTTTCATGCCTAGCTCATTCAAATTTCATTGATATTCATTAGCATCCCTTGAAGAGAGGCTCATTAAGACACAACTGGCCCAAAGGTATCGTTTCAAAGAGAGCTGACTAAGACCATACTGTTAGTATGACAACTTATTCAGATACTGTTTGTATTGGGCAGGCTGGGATGAAAAACATATATTTACAAGTCCACGTGTGAATCCTTAAAGACCCCATCTTTGTAAACAGAAGGGTTGACCATGTTCAAACAGCCGTTTTGTTTTGTTGACATGAAATACACGTCCTAAAATGGGGCCAGAAATGGATAGAATGCTGTATAAATTTGGTTTAGCTTTAGGCTGTAGGAAAAGTAGTTGTAGCCATGTAGTATCTTGTAGATAGAAACTTATTACATAAATAACAAGCAATTTTGGTCAACGAATGTTTTTCATCTCAATGGGAAGGTGTAAATTTCTTGATCTTATGTCATGTTCGTGTTAGGTAAAAGTTAGGTTATCGCTCAGACGACGTAACATGAAGTCGTGTAACTTGCTGCGAGAGAGTCATCATTCGACTGTTCATTTAAGCATGTTTAATCCTGGCTGCAAACAATCGGCGAGCTGCTGACATTCGACGATCACAAAAACCTGCAAAACAGTGCAATGCGATCATACCAGTAGCTAAGTAATCGGCTTCTGATGTGGAAAAAGTTAACAAATTCAGACGACATGAACTTTTGTTGCAAAATACCTCAGCAAGGAGATATTTTGTCTGCTGATGATCTCTGCACAGTATTTAAACAACTATTTCTGTCCTTGTTTCTGAAAATATCCAGACTACAGTCTGTTTGTCAGTGTGCATGGCACAAGAGTCAGGTGGAAGATGGGTTACCCTACTGGATTAGGATGATTTCTTTAATGTGCAAGCTTTAGGGTGAGGCACTTGTCAAGTGTTAAACAAGGAGTTTAGATCTGGTGGTACAAATCAGTCGCACTCACGCCATATAAGAGGCAGACACAAGAAGAAAGCGTGTGATGGAAGTTTTCGTTTCGGGTTCAGGGTTTGGAAATGGTGGCAAGATCCTGCTGCTGTTTCTTGGTAAGAGGGTTGTGTTAAGTGATCGTTTAGGACAAGTCTTTGGTGTCTCTTGGTAAGAGTTATCAACTATGGTTTAGGCCAAAGTTTTAAAGCTTTGCCTTAGTCAGGTTTGTAGTTTTCATCTTTGGCTCTGTAAGGAAATTATCAATAGGATTTCTAGATGTGAAAACATTTATTTTCTTCTTGGTGTATGAAGTGTGTATTGTGTATTGTCTAATAGCAGCACCCTTCTTTCATGAACTACAGATATCTTGGCGTATATTCAGTCAAGTTTTGGTGTATTGCAAGTTCAACAAAATGGGTAGCCTAGTGGTTAAAGCGTTCGCTTGTCATGCTGAAGACCCCGGGTTTGATTCCCGACATGGGTACAATGTGTGAAGCCCATTTCTGGTGTCCCCCGCCGTGATATTGCTGGAATATTGCTAAAAGCGGCGTTAAACTATACTTACTCGCTCACTCAACAAGATGGTGTTGTAGATGTTTTATTCTACAGTTTAGAATTTTGAAACTATTGCTTTTTGAAAATAGATCTGCACTGATGAATGATTGGCATTTATTTTTGTGTCTTTTTAAAAAAATTCAAATTTGCCGGACTCATGGAAAAATCAATTGTTATTAGTCTCTGTTTATCTAAAAGTTAAAATGCCATGATCATGATGATAGTTGGCCATGTAATCCATATTTAGCCCTGTAGTAGAGTAGTTGCTGGCGCCAGGTTTGCCGATTCCAGACTGATTGGTATTCAACAGAGATTGGGGATTGACAGAAATTGGCTCATCGTTTATGCTGTAATATATGACTTGTCGGCTTCAGCCAATTCTATCCAGTTGATGGATAACTTTGGCTTTTTCCCTTTCCAAGTTGACATATTTTGAATTTTTGTATTAATTTCAGTTATATCCCAGGGTAGTTTATTGACCTTTGAGTAATGAATATATTCATGCTGTCAAAGCTTATTACAATGTGTTTGTATTTCCAGTGTATTTTATTTGAGGCTAAATTGTTACCTTCTAATGGAGAAGAGGTTATTTTGACATGGGAGAATCTATTCTTCACAGAACATGGAACATGAAATATTGTGTTCAGAAAGTGACATTGACTTTGAGATTATTGCACTTATATAGCAAGGTGTGTGTGTGTGTGTGTGTGTGTGTGTGTGTGTGTGTGTGTGTGTGTGTGTGTGTGTGTTTGTGTTTGTGTTGCTGCTTGTACTAGTCCAGATTTATGCTGATTTTATCGTGCTAGCCCATTGAGATATCATGCGCCATTGAACATTGATACCCACTCAGTCACAGTATATTGACTCCGAGCTGACCAGTCGACACTGAATGTCGAGTGCCAGACAGGGTAACAACAAGTACCTTCTTCAAACATCTTTTTGTATGACGCGACCAGGGATTGCACCACCGACCTTCTGCTCTCTAGGCAGATGGTTTATCCACTATTTAATGCTATGAAGGCTTTTCTGCTGCTTGGTGTACAAACCCCATTGAATCATTCACGTTTTATGTTGATTTACTGGACAAAATCCTCTTAATTCATCCCAAGTTAATTTTGCTGTTTTGTTCTTTCAGGCCAGAAGCATGGGAAACATCGCAAGGAGGGGGACGAAGAAGGGGAAGGGGAAGCATCCCTCACGGGTTCCCCCAAACGATCATCCAAAAGGGGGTCGAAGTCGTCAAGGACGCCAAGTCGAGAGTCCACGCCCCCCAACATAGAAACATTAGACAGAGAACCCAGGGCGGGACCAAAGACGAAAGATATTGTGATTGAATCAAAGACAACTGCTGAAACTGTGCCTAAATCGGCATCACCTCCGAAGAAATCGCCAACCAAAAAGTCCCCTTCTAAAGGTGGGAAGAAGAAGGCAAAGATTGCTCATGAAGAAGTGATAACAAGGTCGGAAGACAAAGGTGTAGAAAGTGGGCGTGGCAACCCGCAAACCCCGGTGAAGGATAATGGGCCTGAATTCGAACCAGTGACGCCAATGACCATGAACGACATGTCGATAACCAATCACAACCCCCAGGCCACCTCGACACCTGCCGCGCCCAACGGGGTTGTCAGCACGGGCGTCACGATCAACAGTCCACATCTTAGTGAGTACTACTCCGGCTCCTTATATATTTTGTATGTTGTATACTGTAAATCATGAAATTAATGCGCTAACTCGTGTAGCAAGACTTGTAGCCTGTACAATCTTTGTAGGCGACCAGACCTTATTTGCAATATTGCTGAGTGCGGCATTAAACAACAAACAAACAAACAGAAACAGCACAGAAACAGCACAGCACAGCACATCACAGCGCAGTGATCACATACTGATAAATGCAACTTCTGTAAACCTCCTGTCTCCCAGCCTAATGCTACTCTATTTTAATGACATCCAAGTTTACCGTTAAAAAAAGTGATTTATGATGTTTCATCACGTCAGAAAAAGATTTCATCAGTATTAGCAATCCGATTGGCATTCCCTGAATTAGAATGTGGATTTGCCTTGGTTGTGATGACACCATGAATAATGCCTGTCCAAGGGTCACCGTAATCCCTCGTTTGTACAACACCAAAAAACTGTTTAAGGAGTAAGTCAAGAAGCTGACCACACTCTATTGACCGACCACGGTCTTCATTTACAAGTTTGATGGTGTCATCTGACGCAGCAGTCCGAACCGACAGGCCCAATTTCACCTACACATGCAAGTCACATATCTCCGTACCTTGATAAGACCTTGTTATACAAAGTACACACCATTCTGCGACCTCATTGTTTGTGGAGGCCGACAAATATGCAAAAAGTCTTTCCCAGGGTGACCGAGGGTTATAAGGTTTCCCATGCAGTTCGGTTGTCGGGAAACGGACGTTCTATCAGCCATTCGACCATAAACATTTATTATTATGACAAGACACATCACCAGGGGCTTGCATTATGCTTCAAGTTGATTAACTGCCGTGTAGCCGATTAGTGTGAGGATGAAGACTGATCGCGTTGATGATACAGGTTGGGGTAAGACTGATTTATTCCCGATATTAGCTCAGATTCAGTGGGTAAGCCCCTGCAGGCTATGCCTGGGGGATGTGTTATTCGGAGAGGCTGATGTTTGATGGGTTGTAGAGGTTTAGTTTGTGATTTGTTGATAACATTATTTGATGATATCAGATGGTAAAATTTCAGGGCAGCCATGTCGATTATTGTTGAAGGTTTGTGTTGTGTGGTTTTGGCAGATTTAGAACTGTTTGATAGTTTTGTGCTTTAGGGGTAATTGGTGATCATTAGACAAGGAGGTTTTAAGAGACAGACTTAAGAGAGGCTGTAAAAATGAAATCAACTTTATGACACAACATGATTTGTTGCAAAAAAAATTAGGAGGCTGGATTCGAATTATGGCTGCTAGTCTGAGACCAATAAAATTTAGGAAGGACTAGTGACTTGTACAGGAAATATGTCTTAATACTTTGCCTTTATATTTGTAAATCTGTAGAGTCAGCAAATGTTTAGATTTGATGACCTTTGCAAATCCCATCCACCAAATGTCAGATGACAATAAACATACAGGCCAGAAGAAGTACGTTTTTGTTTTACACTCGTGCCTACCCTAATGGTTGCTCCCAGGGCAAATCAGGCTAACAGTACCCCATGGTGACGACCAAACTATGAGTGAGTGAGTGAGTAAGGTTTTCTGCCACTTTTAGCAATATTCAAGCAATATCACGGCAGGGGATTCCAGAAATGGGCTTTGCACATTGTACCCATGTGGGGAATCGTACTTAGGTTTACAGCATGACGAGCGTACACTTTAACCACTAGGCTACCTCACCGCCCCCGACTATTAGGAGGATTGGAGGTTAAAATGTGTGACCTGGTTGACAGCCTGTCACTATTGATGTGGATGTGGATTGTTGCTCGTGCTATCAACCCCTGGTTTGCTTGACCCAGATGTGATTATTTCAAGCTGCTTAACTATAGCAGGAATAGTACTGACTACAGTGAAAACATCATTTAAACACCGAGATTTACACAGAGAATGTTATGACTAATATAGACATGCTTATTTCATTTCATATTTCACCTCACCTGGTAGAAGGGGCGGTGGGGTAGCCTAGTGGTTAAAGTGTTCGCTCGTCACGCCGAATACCTGAGTTTGATTCCACGCATGGGTATAATGTGTGAATCCCATTTCTGGTGGTCCCTGCTGTGATATTGCTGGAATATTGCTAAGAGTGGCTTAAAACAATACTCACTCACCTTTTGGAATAGGGCCTGGCAGTAATTCTGTCCCAAATCGACATCTCCCTCTGTCCCAAATCGACATCTCCCTCTGTCCCAAATCGACATCTCCCTCTGTCCCAGCCTTAAATTGTGACACAGTGCGTTGTTAAAAAATGATTTTGATAGTTTTGTAAGATATATTTTGTGATAGACAGACACATTGGCCAGTTTTAAGTTTTTTCCTGCATCCGAAGTTTGCCTTAAACAATTCCAAACAAGAAACATGCTGCTCTTGGCCTTAAGGTTTTTGTCAATCAATAACATGGACAACCCTCACTGTATTTGTGTTGAAGCAGGTCCTCTGTCATGGCTATTTTCCCACACCTGGTTGACATTTACAGACAATAGCACCGAACTGTGGGTTACAAGCTTTGCCATTGATTGTAGGGATAAATCAAACTGGTAGCCATCCATGGAGGCAGTGGGTCCCCAGTCAGTGTTGGGAGCTGGTTGTGTGAGATTCCTGTGCCATGCTGGCTCTATGTGCTCATGTACTGCTGACTATTACCGGTATACTGCAATACGCTCAGATACGGATTGCAGTATTTTTGGTGTTCTGAATTTTGGGTAAATCAACATAACAACTTTCATTATTAATTGTATCGTTTAACCAAATTCATTCACAAAAGATTTTTGACTTCGAAATTGATTGACAGAGCAGTGGAAGCACAGAAGTGATTTCTCTTACTTTGTTATCTCCCCTGTATCTATGACTACAAGATGGTGGCGACTGATCATGCTCCGGGCAGTGACTTTAAAATCATAATATGTAAAAAATAGGATCTGCATGTACAATCAGTGTCAATAAGTGTGAAACAACTCTGCTCCCAATACACTGCAGTACATATTGCAATACAGATACTTGTCTTGCAATATATTGTAATAATGAGTGAGTGAGTATGGTTTTACGCAGCTTTTGGCAATATTCCAGCAATATCCCGGCAGGGGGCACCAGAAATGGGCTTCACACATTGTACCCATGTCGTGAATCAAACCCGGGTCTTCGGGGTGACGAGCGAATGCTTTAACCACTAGGCTACCCGACTGCCCCTATATTGTAATATAATTTTTTTGACAACACATAGTCCTAGTGGGAAAAGAATTTGTGTTTAACCGATAATTATTTGTTTGGTTGTTATTCCTGCTGCATGACCATGGCCTGTAAATAATTGGGCGTGTCAAGACAAACAAGTGATTGATGTTATGAGCATCATCCCGTGAAGTTGGAGTGCCATGACACACAATAAACCAAGGCACTGACCCTGACCCTCCGATCAATTTAGCAGGTCCGGACCACACACTTTTGAAAACCAAACGTGGCGTGTTGTAGGCAGTAAAAGTATCTGAGAGTGGATATTGATATTTTGGACCCCTCCCTTTTAATAATGCTGGATCTGCCCTTGCTTATATCAACTTCAGTCAAGACTCTCAGCCAGTGGGAGGGAGGTGTTGGTCACATGTTTCCCATCTGCTGACCTCAGGGCAGCCATGTCCAGTCCAGCCCAAGTCAATCATCATTAACGCACAAATTAGGACTTGACAACTACAAAAGCTGCACTTTGTTGGCAGTAATGAAGCCATATCTCATAGTAATTGTTCAATTAGTGAATAAATATCCCTCCCTGTCTGATTATAAGAAGTCGTTGATGTAAGGAAGCTTGGTGTTGTTCTTTGGTTGGTTTTATTTTGTTTGCTGGAATGGCAACAAGTTACATCCATCACCAATGATTTATATTTAAGTTGCAATAATTAGCACAACTTCTTTAGAAGAAATTTATGTATTTTTGTAATCTAGATCAACTGTACTGTGACCTCGACCTTGACTTTGACCTTGACCCTGACCCTGTGTCAGGTGTGGGCCGGGTGACAACACTCTATTTCCTAGGTCAAATATAGTCTGACCTTGACCATGACCTTGTGCTATTGATGAGGCAGGATCTTACTTGTCATCACTTAACATGGATTTCTGATGATGGTGAACTTCTTGAATTTGTCTTTGTATTGTATGAACACTCTTAATTTACTGGTGCCAAATATCAGAAGATGAATGCTTCTTTAGATATACTTATAGAAGGTCTTGCAGTAGGTGAGGCAGTTAGGTAGCCCAGTGGATAAGGCGTTTCCTCCTCTGTGATACGTCAGGAGTATTGGTAAAAGCAGTACAATACCTAACCCTCTCACTCATTCACTCAAGCAATAAGACCGTCTCCATGGTCTAGTGGATGGAACATCTGCCCAGATTGGTGGTTAAATCCCTGGCTGCATCATACCCAAAGGAAGAAGATGGAACTTGATGTTACCCTGCCTGCCTGGGATAAAACAAGGACTGGTCGGCTCGGAGTCAGTATACTGTGTCTGAGTGGGGTATACATGTTAAACTGTGGCATGGTATCTCAGTAGGCTAGTACTATTAAATTGTCATTAGTCTGGGCTAGTACAAGCAGCCACACACACATGCACGCACATACACACTTGTATGCACGTCGCTATATAAGTGCAATAATCTTCAACGCAACATTAAATCCCATTTCACCTTACCTCAAGCAACAAGTCAAAAATTTTGATGTATGAGAAGCCATTGATTAAGAACATTTCTATGCCCTGGCTGACTTGTGCTCTTTCATTGAATGCATAAGTGTTTAGTCTGACAATGATCACCGTATGTTAATGACACAGCCTTTGCGCTGTGAATGGCAAGCATATGGGATTTACTGAATGAAGAAATTTGATATGTTGCATAAAAACAACTCATTGTGACAACCTATAGTCATATGACAATACAGATATTGCCTTGTTGACTAGCTTGAGGTGGGTTTGTTCAATGAAATCAAA